TAAAAGTAAAATAAGAAGTCTTTATTTCTGTTATTTTAATGAGTAATTTAATCTTCGATCTTTTTAGTTGAGATGTGGGTTGGTAAGCGTTATGAAAGCATTATATATTCGGATTTTACTTTCGGTGATAGATATTTCGCTGTAACATGTTCATCAGTTCATAAACTAGACAATGCTGTACCTAAATTAGTGCTGTTGAAAAGTCTTTCAAGAACTACCAACACGTGGAAACGAAGAATATAAAATACTATGCAAAAGGGAACTGGAACAAAGCACAAAATCAAAAGCAAATGGAAACTCGAAAGTGTTTCCATTTGCTTTGAAAAGTAAAGAGAAACTCAAAGCTATCAAAGCTCTAAAAGAAGGTCATCATCATCATTATCCTTCAATCTTCTCCACTGCTGGACATAGATCTCCCTCATAATTTTCCATCTGTTTCGATATTGCGCCTCTTGCATCAAATTTATAAGGCAACGTTTTAAATCGCCAGTCCAACGTATTAGTGAACAACCTCTGCGCTTTTATTGAACTTTTAAATCTTTATTTATCGTCAGTTATTAGCACAATGTCATCTGCAAACCTCAGGTGGTTAAGTTTTACACTGAATTTAACGACGTTAACTATTTAATAAAATTAAAATTAACTTAAAATCGGCTTCAATTTGAGAAACTAAAAGAGGGAGTTTGACAAGCCTGCTTTTTCTACACACAAGTCAGAATTTGATATTGAACACAGAGTGCAACGCCAAAGTTTCAACTTAAAACATGGCTATCTGCTTGAAAGATCCAGGCTGGGTGTGCCACCTGTCAAATTTGGTGAAAATTGGCCAATTAATAAACAACAACAGGTGTAACAACCTCCTTATTCTTTTAAATTCTTTATCTTTTGAAAACTATCTTTGGAGTCAAACATCAAAAATATAATTTTTATTGCAATCAATACAACACAATAAAGGTATTATTTTTGCAATATGATAATATGTATTTCCAAAACAGATTGCAAGAGGATTGTTGTAATGTTGACATAATTGTTAAATCTTACCTTGAGAGACTAGCAGTCCTTCAGATTTGTTTTTAACTTCACGTTCTTCTGCTGTTGGCACTGCTGCTATAGGCACGGACTTAATGTCAAATGGTTCCTCAGTTGGATTCTGAATGTATTCTCTAAGCGATCTTTCTAGTGAAGGGATTGAAACCTGCAAAAGACTTACTTATAACAATTACATAAAAAATTACCTAGTTATGAACGAGAAAAGTCTAAACTCTGAATATTAAAAGCAATAAAAATTAATAGGATATAAAATGCCACTTTTGTAGCATTGCTTATTATTACCTTGTATTCGGTCATTAAATACGTGGACACGGACCTATGTATGACATTTTTATTTGAAAGAATAAATCCATAAAATTTTACAGCTAAACCACACTCTATTCTGGTGCAATCGACTTTTAGTTTACAACAATAAACTCTAGCTGCAAACCCTGTGTGAGTTTTGACCACTTTAACAATTGTATTCCATTCTAACAACTAATTAAAATAGATATTTTACGACATATAGGTATTGACAAAAAGGATATTCGGATTGTGAGAAATATATACTGTAACAGCAAGAGTGAAACTGGGCAATGAGTTGTAGATCCCTTTATTTATAACATATTTATTTGCTTTTTATAAATAGGGTGTATAGGACCTATTGCCATTCTTTATTGTCTCAGTATTCATTTTTAGATTAATATCTCAAAAGGTGGGTGGCAACACGGTAACCAAAACGTAAACAAATATTTTATTTGTCGCCTGCAATAAACTCAATTTCTGAGAGTTGTTACGGGAAATAAATTATTGAAAATATCCAGTAAACAATATAAGACATTAAGTGAAGGAGAGTGCTAAGAAAATACTTTAAAATCGGTGAAATAACATCCGAAAACATCAAGGCCCTATAAAAAGTAAGATCGCTGTAATTGATAAGCCTAATTAACATCAAAGCATAGAAACGAAACTCTGACCTTTGAAATTGCGACGTTGCCGTTGTGAGTAGACTTTCGGGGTAGACACAGAAAAATAACAACTGTTAATAAACATAAAATAAATACGGTAAACGCTGTCTTCTCTGAACTGTTGAGGTGGAAGACAGTATTTGGCGCCGGAAAATGGAAAAATATATGAAACATTTAGACAGTGATGATACACTTTCAGAAGGAGGGGCAAAAAGGAAGGACAGATATAAAGACAGCGAGGAAGAAGATAATATTTTCAGAAAGAGCAAAAAGTTCTCGAGAACACCAACAAACACTCCAGAGAAAAAAAATGAGGCAACAAAAATTGATCAATTACTAATAATGATGAGCCACCTCACCGATGATATTAAGGAAATAAAAAGAAATCAAAAAGAATGCAAGGAAACGATAGAAAAGCTCATAATGGAAAACAGAGAGCTGAGAAAAGAAAATTCAGAACTAAAACAAGAAAATATAGAGATTAAGGAGGAACTCACAGAAATAACAAAAAACATGGAAGTTATGGAAAAACACCGACGAATAAATAACATAGTTATGAACGGCCTAAGGATAGATACATATGAGCAAGCAGGGTTAAAAAGAACAATCAATAATTTCATCAAACAACATATAGGGGTAGAGGTTAAAATAAGGAATACTCACAAGTTAGTCGAAAAAACATGCCTAATTGAATTAGAAAACCAAGAAGAAAAAAGAAAAATAATGAAAAAAAAAAGCACAAGTTAAAAGAAATTAAAGAGTACAAAATATATATCAACGAAGATGCAACCATAAAAGAACGAGAAATACAGAAAACAATTAGAAACATTGCTCAAGAAGAAAGAAATAAAGGAAATGAAGTAAGATTGGAGTAAAAAAATATGGGTAAATAACAGCGAAAAACATGGAATGTAAGAGATACATATGGAGAAGGCAAACTTAAACATTTAGCGAGAGAAATCGAAAAGTTCCATTTAGACATAGTAGCTTTACAGGAGACGAAACAGCTGGGAAATGATATATTAAAAATATAAGACACAATGATTTTTAACAGCGGCGGAAAGAATCGAACTTTAGGCACAGATTTTATGATAAGAAAAGAGCTAAAAGAAGCAATAGTAGAGTTTAAACCAGTATCAGAACGCATATGTAGTATCAGGTTCAAGGGAAAATACCAAAAAATCACCCTCATAAATATTCACGCGCCTTCAGAAGAAAAAGATAATGATGTCAAAGAATGTTTCTACAGTGAATTAAACAGAACGATCGAAAATATACCCAGATATGATATGAAAATTATTCTAGGCGACGCAAATGCCAAAATAGGGAAGGAAGAAGTATTTAGACCGACAATAGGAAAATATAGTAAACACAATGAAACTAATGAGAACGAACAATTACACAAGAAAACAAATACACAAGGAAACATGGATATCGCCAGATAGAAAGACTAAAAACCAAATAGGCCACGTGCTCATCGAAAAAGAGAAACAGCAATGTGTAAAGAAGATAAGAACATACAGAGGACCAGACGCTGACTCAGATCATTACATGGTGGGCATCAAAATTAAGCAACTGATACCAGAAAACAAAAACAAAATAAAAAAAAAGAAATGTATACATAACGCAATTCGATTAGCAACAAAGAAAGAGCAAGAAATATACGAGGAAACAATGGAAGCAGAACTAAAAAAGATACAAATAGAAGAGCAAACTGAGAACAAATCGGAAAACATAAAGCAAATAATGAACAAAGCAGCAAAATAATGTAATAAAAAGATGAAAGACTGGTTCGACATAGAGTGCCAAAAATAAATAGAACTAAGAAAATCATTAAGGATGGAAATGATCACGAAAGAAACAACTAAGACAAAGAATAGATATAAGGAGCAAATACAAAAAGTAAAGAGGGTGCTGAGAGAAAAGAAAACACATAGAAAGTAAGCTAAAAGAAATAGAAGAGAATTACAGAAATAAAAAACCTATATCAAGGTGCAGGAAGCAGAAATAGTCGAAAGATGGAAAGAGTATTTTGATGAATTACTAAATAGCAATAATAAGTCAAACCAAAGAGAATGTATGGAAGCAGAAGCAAGAATCGAATACTTAGAAGACATAGAAGATAATTCACCCAGCAAAGAACAAATCGAGGAAATCATAAAAAATCTGAAAAACAAAAAATCCCCTGGAAGCGATAACATAACAGCAGAGATGATGAAATATGGTGGAAAACTGCTAAATAATTGGATATACGAGATCATAAAAGAGATATGGATAAACGAACGAATACCAGAAGATTGGAAGGAAGCCATTATTTGCCCATTACACAAAAAAGGAGACAAAACAGAATGCAGTAATTACAGAGGAGTAGCGTTACTAAATACCGTATATAAAATCCTATCAAAATTCATAAAAGATAAGCTAGAAAAAGAAGCTGAAAATATAATAGGCGAATATCAGTGCGGATTTAGACGAGAGAGAAGCACAACGGACCAAGCATTCATAATCAGAGAATTACAAGCAGAAAGCTATGAACACAACTTACCAACGATAGCGCTATTCATCGACTTCCAGCAAGCATACGATAGAATAAAAAGGAAGGAATTAAAAGAGACCATTGAGGAACTGGGAGTTAGCAGAAAGTTGCGTAACATGATACATCTTACTTTAGAGAATACAGAAAACAGAGTCAAGGTAAACAATCATGCATCGGACAAATTTATAGTAAACGAAGGATTAAGGCAGGGCGATCCTTTGTCATCATTACTCTTCAATTTATGCCTAGAAAAAATAATGCGAGAAGCGAAAATCAATAGAGAAGGACTCCTATATCATAAAAGATACCAAGTTTTGGCATTTGCGGATGATATAGTGTTGCTGGCAAGAAGAAAAAAAGAGCTACATGAGATAGTACAGAGAATAGTAAAAGCAGTAAAGAAAATTGGACTTTACATAAATGAAACTAAAACAAAATGTATGCAGTGGACAGATGATCAGTTTAGGGATGGATAAAAGTTTAAAGTAGAAGTAGAAGAAAGATCATCATACGAATTCGAAATGGTAGAAAGATTTACATACCTAGGTACAATAATATCACGTAAAGCTAACATTAAAGAAGAAATACAAGCTAGAATAATGGCAGGCAATAGAAGTGTACATGTTCTTAGTGGAATGTTGAAAAGCAAGTTTTTATCAAGAAAGGCAAAAATACAGTTATGCAAATCAACTATACAACCAATAGTAACATACTGCAGTGAGACGTGGCCAATGACAAAAAATGAACAAAATTTACTGGAGATATGGGAAAGGAAAATCCTGAGGAAGATATATGGAGGAATAATAAGGGACGGTTTATGGATAAGAAGATCAAATGATGAGTTAAAGAAATTATATAATCAACCTAACATAATAGGAGTCATAAAGGCGCAAAGACTAAGATGACGAGGTCACCTAGAAAGAATGCCGAACACGAGGACTCCAAAAAGGGTACTAAACTACACTTTAACTTTAAAAAAAAGAAAAGGAAGGCCAAAAAGATATGTAAGAAATTAGACTAGACGGCCAGAAAAGAAAAATAAATAACAAGAAGGAATGGAGAAAAGTCACATATCGAGCCAGAGAAGATCTCAGTACATAAAGGAAAACGAAAATGAAGAAAGAACACAATTTTTAAGCCATGGGCCTCTAAGGCCTTTAGTGCTATTGTATATTGTATATATCTTAAAAGGTATTACTGGGTATTTTTTATTGTTTGTTTCACAGGGGAAATTACCAAAAAGTGATCTGACTCGCAATTTATTCTTCTGAATATATATACATATACGTCCAAAAGTTTGGAATATTGGAATATTTCATATTTTTATTAATTTATATAAATAAACTTTTCTGAATAGTCAAACATCATATTGCTTTAATTCTCATCAATACTGAATAAAGCTCAAAACCATAAACGATATGCAAAAACATGATTTAATATCTTGGAGTGAAAACTTTGAATTTACCACATTTAACCAGGCAAGGTCACGCGGAATCAAAGTAAATTAAAATAATAATAGCAGCGCCTTCATCAAAACAAAATTTTCCCAGATCTAATGAATTCGTCAGCTCCTATTCTTTACAGGAGACTGACGTCATGAATTCCCCAGACTGAGCTCCTAGCGCCATTATCTATCTACTAAAGCCCCGTCTATATTTCACGCGAAGCGTGAAGCTATTATTAAGCATTAACCCAAAAAAAGATATAATTTAGCGAATATAGAATAGTTCACTAAAGTCATTAACTACAAATTCTTTTGCACGACTTTTCTTCCTAAATGTTTATCAGGATGATATTTGGGAAATAATGAATAATTCAAAGTACGTTCTAGTATCATTTTAATAATCAATGTGTAGTGCCGAACTTACCTGTAACGAATCCAAAATGTAATTGTTGTATAAACTTTTATCATTTTTGTTTAGTATATTACTATAATATGTAGCTCTGTCTCTAACTTCATCGTCTGAATCCATCTGACACCTCGAAAGTAATATTTGGATATTTTCTAACAAATCTGGACAAGAAGCTCCGAATTGTGCCATGGCAGAGACTGCAGCAGCTCTTACAGAGGGACATTCCAATATGACACGATTGTAAATAAAACGGATATATCTGGAAAAACACAGACACAAAATTTGAAAAACTAAATCCGTCATTTTTTTTTTAATTTTCGTCTCTTCGGCTTTTATTTATCTGAGGTTATTATAGACTATGTCCGTAAAATATGAAAAACTGAAACACGTCGATTATAATTTTAATTCTTAACAATTTACAAAAAAAACTATTGTGCCGATTTATTTATGGTACAATTATTTACATTAGATTGTTTACTTTTTATGAATATTTTCACTGTTCATAAAAGAAACTAAATACAAACAATATCTTAAGGATTTTATTTAAGCATCAAAAGTTTTTCTTTCAGACAATGTTAAATTAAGACGTGACACTTAATAACACAATGGAATTGGTAATTTACTTTGAATGTTATATTTACCTTGATGGTTGTTTGGTCTTGGGTCCTTCTTTTCCTAACAAATGTAAGATTCTCACAGCCAAAGAAACATGTTCACAGTCTTCAATGAACTCGCAAAGATGCGCCAAACCAGATTCTTTAGCTTCGGGATTATCTTCAATTAGGGTTATAATGGTATCTATAATTACAGAAAATATTGAGTTTCATGTAACAGAAAAGTACATAAGTAATTTGCAGAACTGCAACAACTTTATTTGACGGAAATTTGTGTCTCGATGGAAGCCGAAACGTCAAATAAAGTATATACTTATAATTTTATTTAGTGATTCCCTTACAAGGAATAATATCATCTAAAACAAGTTTAAGTCCATTTTGTTACTTCTCTAACATACATATACAGAAGAGTTACTTATCAGTAATGTAATAAAAGTCATTAAAAAGGTCATTTAATACTTAAAATAGACAACACGCGATCTATTTTAAGTATTTTCAACATGCCTGATTTCGGTCTTAACCCCAACAAAATTGTGAAATATATATTATACTTCTATACACGCGTTCGCCGTTACAGATTTAAAAAGGAGTCAATCTGCACAATCATTACATATTTAATGGTATAGGTAAGAGAGATCAGAAAGAGAAAAAGAATTAAGTATATAGGTATATGGTGCATCGTTTGCTGCATATAAACATTTGACCTATAACAGGAGTATATTAAATGAAGGATTGTATCAATATTTTAATGAAAATATATATTTTTATTTTCATATGTAAACAGGAGTTGAATGCAAAAAAAATTTTTACACATACTCTGCAGTAAATTCATTGTTTATTTTGTTATTAATATAAAAATTACAATACAATAACTACACTGCAACGTACTTCAATATAATAATACAATATAAATTAAAATGCAATATTCATAAGTATTTAAAACTGCCAATATACATAACTTACTTGATAAAAATAAAGAACCAGCAACTCGGATTATGTTGTAAATTTTCATTTTATTTTAAAATTTAGCATTTTTGCGTATATTACATAATATATTTAATAAGATTAACGTGAGGTTTTTAAATATTTCAAAAATAAAAAAGGAAATTCATATTGGGATTCGAACTCACAAACCCCAGCGTATGAACCAAACACGTAAAGGATTTGCCAATTGGACATGACACTAAAGAATTTCAAAATTGACAGTTCTCGGTCAAACAGTGATTATTTTGAAATATAAAAGCTCAAAATAATTATAAACGTTTAATAAATAATACAAAACATATCACATAAATAATAATATTAATACATATTATATATATTATATATATATATATATATATATATATATATTATATATATATATATATATATAATAATATTAAATATGTATACAAAAGGAACATTTTTATTCTCGAGAGAGGAAGGGAGAGAAAATATATCTGCTGCCTCTCTCTTACTCATTATTTTACATATGTAATGGTTTCACAGATTCACTCCTATGCAAATTTCCAACGTCTAACGTTCGTATAGAAGTATAACTTCAAAAACTGAACAAATTTCTCTCAGAAAGGAATTAGATAGTACGCAAAATTACACATGTTGCGTGTTAATCTACCAAAAAAAGTATTGATGACAGTCGTAATAAATCTGAAAAATCTTTGAAAGTGAAAAATTTCTAAAATCGAGTGTATGAAAGTTTATATACTGCGAACAGACAATTGCATATAAAAATACTGGAGCAGTAATCGTAAATATGTTCGTCTCTTTAGAATTTGGATGTAGACACAAAGTGTGAAGACATAATTTCAGTGTCAAATTCAAATTAGAGTGATAATATTAGTGTACAAACCTTATTTTAAAGTAGCAAAGTTACAGTGTCATAACAATTTATACGGAATATCTTTGTGATCACACTATTATTTGTAATTGTGGTCTTAATGTATTGTTACGATAAATATGACGCATACCTAAGCTGTAAACATATATTTCTAACAAGTATTGTTTTGTATGTAAATATTCACGGGTCCCCTGCGGTAAAACCTGTCTGGGTTCCACGGCGTTCGAGAACGTTCAGCAAGGGTCACCGGCGAATTCTAGGAAACTCCAGAATAACGGTTATTAAATATATATAGAGGAAATTTTTATTGTAAACGATTAGTCTAAAAATAATAATTGTATCGAGTCGAGTTTGAATTGTAACGCGGGAAATAAATGTAGTATATAAATTAGAATAGTGTAAATATTGTAAAATTAATCAGTGTAAGATTATAATATAAATTAAATAAAGACTAATAAACTAAGTGTCGACTGAAGGTAACATTTCTTTAGCAAATAGTATCGATATTACACCTGCTCATATGGTATATCCAAAAGTTTCTGAATCCCGGGATTGGGTTTCGGGAGATTTCCCATATAACGAGAAACAATTTCCTAAGTCAGATTATTCACTGTTTGAAAACAAATCAGTTGTTTATATATTCGAAATGTTCATAGATGAAGAAATTATTTTAATCCTGGTACAGGAAACAAACCAAGATGCTACTTTTGTGTTACTATTTCTCTTACTAAGCGTCCTGACACTAGAAACAAACTTGTATATAAAGCTATGAGACGCAACAGATTTGAGCAAATTTTGAGGCTTATTCACTTGAATTCTAACGCAAATATTGATAAGGGTGATAAGCTTTGGAAAACACGGCATTTTATATAAATAAAGTGAAGGGCAGATTAAGAAAGTATTTTGTTCCTGAAGAAGATCTGGCTTTCGACGAAAGTATGGTCAAATAATACGGTAAACATACCTGCAAGCAATTTTTAAGAGCCAAACCCATACGATTTGGTTATAAAGTCTGATGCCTAAATACAGTGACGGGCTATTTCATTGGTTTCGAGATATATCAAGGAAAATATGTATACTCGGTTTATATGTACACTTCAAGGTGTACTTACTATTAAATTATAATTGGCTAAGGAAAAAACATCATGCAGGGCAAAATTAAGGGCAAGAGAAGTGTGGGAAGAAGAAAAATATCGTGGCTTCGCAATCTACGTGAATGGTTCGGGTGTAGTTCGATTGAACTTTTCAGGCGCGCTGCTAACAAAGTCGCAGTGGCCATGATGATTTCCAATCTCCGCTAGGAGTGACACGAGAAGAAGAAGAAGGAAAAAACAATAATACAACCATACAGAAAGATCAGAAGACAGAAAAGGTGAAGAATTGCAATATATAAAACCCCACGAAGCGACGGTATCTTATGAGACCACTAAAGTGGCTAATTTATTATTAATTGTTATGTTTAAAAAATATTAGTTTTCAATTTTTTTTATTATGGAGCATAATATACTTTACCTGCTATGGATGCTTTATATTCTAAGCCTCCCTCATCTCTTAACATGGCGGATAGGAAATTCATAAGTGTGCCATGTTTCCTTGGAAATTTCAAAGCCAATACCTTAATTGCCTGAATGACAACCACTTTAAATTCATCACTGATTTCAGATACAAAAGTAGCGATTTGTTTCATTAGTCTGTCCACAGAAGATTCAGCACCTGTAAATATATGAAAATTTAGTTTTTAATATGTTAGATAAAAACAATTAAATTACTGTCTGGTCTTATCCAACATCTAGTAAATAATTAAAAACGCCATTTATAAAACTTTTAAAGCACAACAACTTAGATCATAACTGGATTCAACGAAGATATGGAGTGGTATATAAAGAAGATATGGAGGAGTATAAAGTATACAAATCTATCAGGAACTTGCTAAGCTGTAAATTTATGTAGAAAGAATATAAAGTTGTCAACTATAACATCGATATAAATTCAAAAGCATTATATAAATAGACGGTCGCTTTATATTCAATACTTGTTTATCTTCTTTTACTATCCTCTGTACCCCCTACTATTCAGGCTTGGCTAACAACACTGCTGTCAGAAAACCAAGACAAAAACAATACGGAAAGTAACCGCGTAGTGCTCCAACCTGCATGGCAATTATATATATATATATTATATATATATATATATATATATATTATATATATATATTTATTATGGCTATACACCCCAGTGTGGGTTTAACCGCAAATGCTTTCTAGATCCTATTTCTTAAGTGGATCAGTCTTTTTTTGTTTATCTTATCTTCTTGACAATATCTCTCCATTTTTTCCTGTCTCTAGTTCTTCCTCTCCATTCACTGACTCCTGCCCTTTGAAGTTCTTCTTCTTCTTTGAACTTCTTGCAGCCACTTTGATCTCGGTCTTCCCCTTCTCTTTCTTCCTCCTGGATTCCATTCTATTATTGCGTATGTCACTGCCTCATCGCCTGCTCGCCAAATGTGACCTAACCATCTAACTCTGCATTGCTTTATTTTAGTTACGATGTCTTCCTTAAGTTTTCCTTTTCGCATTTGTTCTGCTTCTATATTCATTTTGCTCTGTTCTGATTGGTCCTAGTATGGTTCTCATAATCTTTCTCTCTGCTATTCTTGAGTCTTCTTCATCTTTTTTAACCATCGTCATTGTTTCCCCTGCATATAATAATATTGGTCTAATTATGGTGTTATAAATGCTCATCTTATTTTTTTTAGTCAGTCTTTTGCTTTTAAGTAATCTTTTGTTTGCAAAATAAGCTTTATTCGCTAATTCGCATTACCTCCCCTTTCTCTCTTATTTCTTCAAGCATTTCTTTCATTATTTTTCTGTTCTTTGCAATAATAGCAATATCGTCTACATATGCAATTATTTGACCACCTCTTGTTCTGAGATTTCCTTTATTTATATTTCGCAGTACATATTCTAATGCTAGATTAAATAGCTTTGTTGATAAGGCATCTCCTTGTTTCATCCCTTTATTTATACCGAATTCCTCTGTCTCTCCTCTTTGTGTCTTATGTTTATTTTTGTAGTCCTCATTGTCAATTCTATTAATTTTCTGAGTTTATGTGGAATTTTTAATTTTTTAAGTGCTGCCATTAATACGTTCCTTTTAATTGAATCAAATGCCTTTTTAAAGTCTATGAATATCATGTCCAATTCTAATTTATACTCGTTTGCTTTCCATATTTGTTTATTGTGTGTATTGCATCTATTGTAGATCTTCCTTCTGTGAATCCACATTGGTACTGTCCTACAGTCTTCTTTGTGATCTTTGATAACCTCTTTTTTATTATTGATGTCAATATTTTATATGTTGTATTTAGTAATGTTATTCCTGTATAATTTTCACAGATTTGTTGGTCTCCCTTTTTATGTACTGTTACGATCTGTCCTACCTTCCAGTCCCTGGCATTTTCTCTTCTTTCCATATATTTTTCAATAGTGCCAGTATTTTTCCTCTTAGTTCCCTTCCCCCGTATTTTATTAGTTCCATATTAATTCCATCTTTACCAGGGGCTTTTCCATTTTTGCTTCTCTGTATTACTTCATCCTTGTTCCTCTAATGTTGGTTCTTTTGAAATTTCGATGTCTACTTCATCTGCTTCTTCTTCGTGTACCGTTTCCTCCTCGTTATGCATTTCTTCTTCTGTTGTTTCCTCCGTCAAGAGCTCTCTGTAGTAATCTCTCCATACTTACTTGTATTCTTGGTCCTCTATTATCACTATTCCCTCTCTATTTTTTATTCCGTTTGTTTTGCCCTTGTATTTTTTGTTTTGTTCTTTAATCTTTTTGTAAAAACTTTTCGTATTTCTGTTTGTTCTTTCCTGCTCTATTTCCTGCATTTTTTTGTCTACCCGTCTTCTTTTATTTTGCCTTATGACTTTCTTAGCATTCCTTCTTAATTTTTCATATTCTTCCTCTTTATATGTTCTTAGCCATTTATATCTGGCTTGGACTTTTTTCCTGTTATTTCTCTACATTCTTGGTTATACCATTCGTTTTTTGTTTTGGCCTGACTTTTACCTATCTGCATATTTGCACCTTCTATTGATTTTTTGATCGTCTCCCATTCTGTGCTTATATCTTCTGCTTTATATTTCTCTTTTATTTGAACTGTTACTGCCTCTTCATATTTTTTTCTTACTTCTTCATTACTCAATTTATTGACATTCCACTTTTTAGGTTGGTTTTTTTGTTTTGTTTCAATTTTAACTTTTTGTCTTATAGTGGCTGTGACCATGTAGTGGTCTGAATCTGCACACGCATCTCTGAACGTTCTTACATCTTTTATTGACGATTGTTTTCGTTTATTAATCATTATGTGATCAATTTGACTATACACTTCATCTAATTTATATAACGATGCACGTCATCGGCGTCATAGCCTGTGACGTCATATGATACCAACACGAAATATTTAGGGTTTAGGTGTGTTCTTTTTAGAATCACTTTACCGAGTACACTGGCATTACAGCCACTAGGCATATTTTATTATATACGCGTAGAAATAATATTTAAAAATTTCTATTAATGTTAACTTAAAGAAATACACAATAATATGTTTGATTTAATTTGTATAAATCCATTATAAAGAGTTTTTATCAAGAACATTTGTTCGGAACACACTGTAACTGTAATCGAACGAAGGTAAAATTTTGTCATAAATTGGTAACACTTATTTGACAGTTGCGGTGTTGACACTTTTTCTACTTTATTATTTTGAATTTTAAAGTGAACACCTCTTGTTTTATATTTTTACCTATTTAATAAAATCTGTTCTTTTTAGAACAAAATTAGTGTGTTTTATTTCAAAAATGTCACGTAAGAATTTAAATAGTCGTTGTAAAGAGATGGTAATACTTTTGCAATAATTATGTGACCTATTTGATTTAAAATGGAGTCAGGATTTTTTTATACTTTGGCAACTATGTCAACTTCGATCTCTGACGTAGATAATGACGTAAGTCGTTATCTAAATTAGATGAAGTATATGTTTTATCTGGTGACCTCCATGTTACCTTATGTATTTCATGGCAATTGCTGTTCAAAATAACTTCGCGAACGGTCTACTGGTGGCACCAAACCGCGCCTCTTTCCGTAATAGGCCTTATACATACATTGGGAGCTCTTTAAGTACAGAACCAAAATTTCCAGTTTTGCATATTCGGGGTTTTGGCATCGTACCAACGATATCCGAAATAAATTTCAACAATTCAAGTGGCTCAGTGTACTAACAAAAATGATCTTCGAGAATTAAAATAAAATTTTTAATGTCTGAGCGAATGCGCTAAACTGACATTTCGGGTGGAAATCTTAGTATTGACAAAATTATAATAATCATATGAAAAAGAGTTTATTTGATATGCTATAGTTACTACGCATATCAATCCTATAATTTTTTATTGTCTTTCTAAAACAGTTTTAATTTAACCTGATATCGCTAAAAAAATCCCATAAGCATTCCATTGCCCTATGTTCCGTGTACTGAAAAGTCAAGATGTGATGGACTATAGTAGAATAAATTCTGTAGTATGTTTTGTTTATCAATTCCACTGAATACTTGTTTGAAATAGAATAGATTTGAAATAGTTTAAAATAGAAGTTTAGTAATAGTTGTTTCAGATTGATCATTGTTTCTACGGCTTTATTAAGACAGGAATTAATAAAACATGTAAAACAGTATCAATACTTGTGAATTTATTCACTAAAAGAAATCTAATCTTAAGCAATAAATTTTTTTTATAACTCTTACCTGTTTTCAAAAGAGTAGTAATGGCCAATGTAGCAATTGATCTATTAGAATCAGTAATCAAATTTTCTAGATCCAAATTACAAGCTGTCACTGAGGCAGGGTGGGTGGTGGCTACTTGATTTAAAGTTCTAACAGCAGCAAATCTGAGTGTAGCTTTAGGAGATCCACAAAATAGTTGGAGAACACTTATAGCGGGTGCTAACACCGTACTACTTGTGAGCTTAAGGTTAACCATGGCATGTGCAGCTTCATAGACTACCATTTCAGATTTGTTCCGCAAGCCCATTGTAAATATCATCGTATATGGAGAGTTGAGGAGAGACTCTTGGTCCTCTTCTTCTAAAAGTTTTGCAGTGATTCTTATCTGAAAATAAATGCTTATGGATCTTGTGCCACAACAGGATATTTTGAAGAATTTGATGACCGTAGATATAAATACATGTACCAATCTCAAACTGATGAAAAAAAGGATACTAATATTAAAAATAACCAACAAAAATACAACACAACAATATTCGCCATATTATACAACAAGCGAAAAACAAATTAATAGCTGATCAGAGCGAGAAAGCAAAACAGGTACATGGTTTGCATGACTCACCAATTTTTAGAAAAAATTAAAACAAACCACGTAGGCATCTAGTACAAAACTTCTTAGAGTGCCCTCTCCCTAAGGAGATTAGCTATTTTTAATGTTGAACCTGTCGATCTAAACAAATCAATCGATCTGCATTGATACCAATCACATAGATTCTTCAACAGAGTTCAAGTCTCTATTAACGCTTTGATATTATTGAGCGTGTTTTTGAAAATTTCTTCAGAATAAAACTTAAATAAGAGTGGCGTTAAAACGCAATCCTGTCGTAACTCCTCTACATATATTTATTTGTTCTGACTATTGCCCATCATTTTGAACTGCGACACTTTAGTCCCAATATAATGTTTGGATTATCTTCCATGTCTTACTCTATCGAAAGCTTTTCCTTGGTCAACAAAGCACAAGTGTAGGTCAATTTACATCACGACATCGCTGAATCAGTATGTTAATGGCAAATAGTCCTTTTCAAGTACCCATTCCATTTCAGAACCCGAACTGCACCTCACTAATCTCCTCCTCTAACTTTTCATAGATTCTCTTATGTATTACTTTAAGCAGTACTTTTAAAGTATGATTCGTGAGGCTCAGTGTTCGATAGTCACAGCACTTTTTGTTACTTTTACTATTTTTTAGGAATGGTTATAAACACTGACTTCAGCCACTCTTGCGGTATTATTCCTTATCATACAATGGGTTAAATAAATCTGCTAATACTTCTAAGTTAAGCTGGATTTATAGTTTGACGGACTGTAGACGTAGATGCACTGGAGACGTAACAAACGGACTGTAAATAATTATGTCCATTTATCAATCAATCAATATTCTTTATTTCATCTGACTTTTACAAGTATTGAAATGCGTCAAAATACAATCTAAAAAACTATAGGTACATAGGTAGTAAAAAAGTAAAAACTATAAGCACATTAAAAAATATAAATATCCCCAAAACATACTAATTGTTTAAAAAGATGCCTGCAAGTATTCCTCTGGACGAGTAGAAAGTGTTTGCCAGAAGTAAGTCCTTAACTGTTCTCTTAAATACATAAATATTTGACTCTTTAACGTAATTAGGTAATTTATTATACAAACTAACGCATGTTGGGTAAGGACCCTTGCCCACAACAGTCAAGTGACGAGCAGGGGTCACCAAATCATTTCTGTAACGAAAATTGTAGCCACTCATTAAGGAAACATCATTTCTGCAAATAAAATTACATCTATGTGACTTTACATAAACAACACAACTGAAAATATACAGAGAAATTACAGTTAAAATATTTAATTGTTTAAAAACTGGTCTACAGGAATCAAAGCGCCTTCTAAACGTCATGGTACAAATAATTTTTTTTTTTGAAGAACAAGCACCTCATTAATTCGCTAGCAATTTCCCCAACAAACTAAGCAATATTGCAAAATTGACTACATGAGCAAAATAGTAAAGTTTCAATATTGACAATATAAACACAATCGTTAAATTATCATCCATACGTGAACCAGAAGCGGAATATTCCATCAAACATCTTAAAAATGACAAAACAACTGGATATGATAACACATATAGTGAAGGTGACAGATAGAAAAATTGTGTGAACACTTTCAACAAAATTCATGACTAGACAAAATTCTACAGATTGATTCAAATCAACAAAAAAAAAACAAATACTACGAGCTGCATAATATATAGATTTATCGGTTAATATATATGTAAAATGTGTGAATAGATTAGTGGAAAAAAGCAGTTTGGTTTCAAGAATAAGATAATGTCCAGCGTAGTCTTCCTAGTCCAGACAGGAGTAAATTACAACCAAAAGGTTTAAGAAAAGCTTGAAATGTCTTCATGAGGAATTTCCACGAAGATTCCAAGATTTTAAAATTATCAAACAAACCTGGACCTGAATGGATAAAGAAGAAATTTGCGAGGTTAAAACAAGTGCAATTTTTGAACAATTATTAAGTAGAGTAGTTGAAGGAACCAACTGACAAACATTTTTTCAATAATCATTTTATTTATATTTATGCATATTTATATTTATTTATATTTCATTTTAAAATTAGAAATTTTCTTTATTTTCAGAACTATGGTTGTTTCTTTAGAACGTCTTTTTTTTGGGTAGAACAGCAATTAAAAGTTAATTCAGAAAGCAATATGTTGTAAATTAAAGAGATCTAATAGTTTATATTATGTTTAAATACTGGAACAAGTAGCATGTATCTCACTTGTGATCAATAAACACTAAACTGTGTCTTCTCTAATAATAATAACATCTGGGCATTGATCCTGCTTAAAAAAGATATTTTTAAATAGTTCTTTTTAGATGAACTGATGATGCTATCAAATTGGATAGCGAAACGTTTTCAATAAATAGATGAAGTAGCCATCATCTTTGTCTTTTTTTTTTCTCCAACTTTTGACCGAAAAACCTGCCACTCTTCGAGTGATCCTTAATTTATATTGGATTGACAGTCTTACTCCTTATATAATATATATTATATATATATATATTATATATATATATAATATATATATATATATATAATATATATATATATATATATATTATATATATATATATATATATAAACAACACAATTTATTAGCGCTGCAGTCAGAAGTTTGGCCGGGATGTTTCAGAAACACTCGTTTGACTTTTGGTCCAGCTTTCGGAATTGTTTTATTTCTTTTTCAAGACACTGTAATAAAAAGAATGTGTAATTATTTACAACATATCACAATTCGTCAGTGCAACTTACTAGTCATTGAGTTTATTTATACAAAGCTTTGACACTCAATATTAATAACACATATAAAATATAACATATATAACAATAATAGTAAAGTTTCGTGTATGATATCTTTTAATGGTGTATTTTAACATTGATCCATAGAGAACAGAAAGAAAAAACAAAAACAGTATGATTAAAATATAATTAGGAGTTCTCCATGTTTTATTAATGGAAGTTCATTAAATCTGTCTTGATGGTATGCAACATGTTTTGAATGGTTTTTTTCCTTTGCCAAAATACAGGAAAGCTCTAAATTAAATTCATGTTTTAACGTTAATGCATGTTCTGTGAGCGCACATGCACTAATTTTTTGGTTTTTATGTCGCTAAATACCCTAAATGTCGCTAAAGAACTCCTAATTATAGTTTAATCATCCAGTTTTTTTTAATTTCTGTTCTCTATGGATCAGTGTTGAAACACACCATTAAAAGATGTTATAAACGAAACTTTACTATCCTTAACTAAATTTTAAAATGTATTTTGTCTATTATTTTATATGTTGTTTTATATGTGCGTTATTAATGTTGAGTGTCAAAGCTTTATATAAATAATCTCAACAACTAGTAACTTGCACTGAGGAATTGTGATATATTGTAAATATTTACTCATTCTTCTATTACAGCATCTTGAAAAAGGAATAAAACAATTCCGAAAGCTAGACTAAAAGTCAAAAGAGTGTTTCTGTAACATCCCGGCCAAACTTCTGACTGCAGCCCTAATAAACTTTATTGTTTGTTTATATTGACAGTCACTAATATCCAGTATTTCTTGTACATATATATATATATATATATATATATATATATATATATATATACTTCTAGCGGTTAATGTAGGCTCCGTAATAAAAGGGTATTATACGAACTCCAGGAGAATATACGCCGTGTATATTATTATCTAAGTAGCGCTTTATGTAGACTCCGACCAACACGTCGGATCAAGTGGACTCTGTAATAGGATAAAACATTTTTGGGGCCCGTATATAACTTTTCGCGTACACTTCTAAACTCCTGCGATGTTGCCAATATTAGTATTAGTAGTAGATTTTAAAATTTTATAGCCGGTACATTTTGGAGCTTATTATTTTCAATTACTTTATTAATTACAATTATTTTCAAACTTAAAAAAGTAACTATAATAAACTTGAAAAAGGTTAGTTTCCATTTAATATATTATTTTTTTTTAATGCATGGGCACTTAAACATTTAGTCTCTAAATGTACGAATATCGAGTAGAGTTATCTTGTAATAGTTGAAGAAAGTAGAAGCCTTTCGGTAGGATTACAATAAACTACATAAGATTAAAGAGAACTCTGAAAACAGATCTTTATAGTTTTTCAATTACTGTAGTTTATGACGTGCAATATTTGTTTCATAGAGTAGTTAAATTTATACAATAATAATTTATGTGAAGTGTTTAAAGAAGTAATCACCAACCTTTATTAGAATACGGCACAATAAGAAGATGAAGCTTACTATATATTGTTTACTTATTATATTCATAAAAAGAATATCTAAAGTAAAATTTAACACATTTCAATGGCCTGGAAGTGAAATTTTACTTCTTATTACGATACCGGATCCTGGACATTGCACGGTAGTGTGTCATACGGTTTCATCTTTCATATAAACATCGATTGTTTTTAGTTTTAGATGTATTAGTAACATATCTACCTTAAACAGTTTTATTTTACATACATTTAGCACATTGGCTCTGACAATGACCTTTAAATATACATTGTTAAAAATTGAATACATTAATCAATTTAAAACGTTCTTTGTTGTCTTCTGTTTCTTTATCTGCATTTTGTTTATTTATATCGTTTCCACTCATAACAAATATTGAGTAGTTTATTGTTTCAGTAAACTTTCTCCTTATATGTCGGTGTTATATAAGTTGTCTAGTTATTATAGCGTATATAATGTCGTACGTAAACGCCATTTTATTTAACAATAAAACACTGAAAACTTTATTTTTAAAAC